GGACATTTTTTGGACCAATTGAACCATATCGTATACAAACAATCTTTGGTAGGCCCATACTATAATTATAGATCTATATAACATCCGAAATTTGGGGGAAAGGATGATATTTCAGAGTGTTTGGAGAAATAGTGCCCAGCTTTATTTTCCTGAACGTTCGGAGAAATAGTGCCCAGCTTTATTTTCCCGAACGTTCGGAGAAATAGTGCCCAGCTTTATTTTCCCGAACGTTCGGAGAAATAGTGCCCAGCTTTATTTTCCCGAACGTTCGGAGAAATAGTGCCGGCCTTTTATAAATCCCCAGCCAATAACATTATTTAGTATTTAAATGTATCTAGATCTAGATCTGGATCTAGATCTAGGGTCTAGATAATTTAATTACGTATAGATTTTTCAAGATCTAAATAGGAGGCCGGCTTCATCAACCCTGCCCTGACTGAGGCTGACTCACTGACAGTAGTGACAGGGACGTCAAATGTGACAAAATGGTTATCTTCTTCCTATCAATAAAACGAGAGCTTTAAAACTTACCGTTGCAGTCACCCCAAGAGACGAAAAAGCCAAAAAAGCAGCCAATACGATAATTTGAAATTTCATTTTGTAGATCTTTTACGACAACAGTGAGAACCGTGCAATGATAACTTTATTATTTATTTACATGTACGACAAGGAGGCGGCCATGTTTGTTGTGAAAGACCACTGCTATTCCCAAGCGGTTGGCAATAGTACAATTGCTATTAGAAAACAGCGAAAGCCTTTGCCCAGGAGTTTTCCCTAGGATTGGTTAGTCAACAATTATTTGCCCCTTTTTTTCTAATATTTTAAGAAAATTTAGAGGTTGAAGCCGTCATAATACGAAAATTAAGAAAGATCTCGACGTTTCCTGGGTCCCGAACGCGTATTTTTTAGGCCGGCCAGGCCCATTTGGCTATTTGGAGAAAATACAGATTGGGAATAGTCTGTTCACTGTTACTTCACTATTACCAGATGCTTGGGAATAGTGTGTATATTTTAAAAAGTAAGATGTCTCTTCGACGAAATTCAGCTGATAAGTTGTAACGAGATCTAATTCAAATGTATGTTTTGTAACATCAAAATACATTTTAAAATTATAATTGATCAGTTTAGATTATCTGATACGAAATTTTGAAAATAAGATTGGAAAAGAAAAACCTACTTTTATTTCTTTCGTTGATGAGACAAATCAATTCCAGTGATGGTTATTTATAGCTTCCGCTACAAACATCCAGTTTTGTTGTCCTTAGAAACCGAAGAGAGGGAAATTAATACCTTGCAAGTGAGGGCTCACAGCTTCACGAGCGAGGTGTAGATCCAGCTGCCAAAATCTCATCTCCAAAGAGTACCTTTATCCGCTGTGAAAGCGGTAAAATGTCGACAGAGGATGCCAAGGCGTACCTCTCAACTCGAGAGGTACCCCGCCTATTCGAAGTAAGAACAACACATTACTGTTCATTACACAACACGCCCGGAATCCAGTTCCACGGAATCTCTTACTCTACATTTCAGTTTAGAACAAAGAAGTCTTAAAAACTAGATCGAGATTTGATACTTTTATCCGTTGTGTTCATTATTAAGATCATTATCATCATCATTTGTTGCATTATGCTTCTACCTGATCAAGGCAGGCCTCAACGTCTTCTGCTTCTCATATGAAGTCTTACACCATTGTTGTAGGTCAACGCTGCAGCACATGGCCCACGTAGACACTACTTTTCTGAATGAATGCTGCCTGATGTTGTGAGAGGCATACACTTTCCGTTCATTGCAATACATAGATCTAGATTTTTTATGTGCAAATAAATAATAGATATATTTAGCCTAGTGTTTGGGTTGGGGGTGATGAAGAATAAGGGGTGAGCGGGGACGGGGACTTGCTATTTTACCATGGAGAACAATTGCAATGGTCACTTGTTGAGCCTTGACATAGCTAGTCAGTCTTAGCACAGACAGTTCTCGTGTCTGTAAAAACATGCTAGCTGGTGTTGATCGGCTAGATGACAAATGCATGTTGTTGAGCAAATTGTTGATGAGAATTTTATTGCCAAATGCTTTTTTTCTTTATCTTTTGGTTGAGCATTTCTTATTGTATTTCCGTAAGCAGTGGACTTATGATGAACTTAATTAGACTTACAAAAGTAATGGTATTAACCTTGCGTTATGTTTTACATTCGTATCCATACGACGTGGGGAACTCATTTATCCGATGTGTACGCTTTGCATAGCTGTTTGTCAAAATGATTTTTTGAAAAATACTGAAAATTTCAAAGAGATCTTTTATTAGAAGTATTATAAAATGTGAAGAATACAACCCTTGGGGTACATAATGACCCCAGGGTGTACTGATAGGGTTAATTTTTTAAAATCTTTGGTTGAGCATTTCTTATTGTATTTGCATGAGCAGTGGACTAATGATGAACTTAGACTTAGTAAAGTAATGGAATGAATGAACAGAAACTTTCTTGTTTCTCTGCTGTCCCAGTGCCTGATGACGGGGCTCATGTTTCACCGGCCCAACGATCACATCCAGTACTTGATCGATTGTTTGGAGAAGGTGAAGGTTAAAGGGCAAGCTGATATGACGTGGAACATGTTCGTAGAAGTTCGATCGGGAAAGACTCCCCTTCCTCCCATCACACCGGACAACGGCAAACGTCCAGTGTCGCGGGGGAGAGTCACGCCTAAAGGTACGTGAGTCCGTGCTGTGGGAACTTGGGAGGCTGGTTTCTAATCTCCTTAAGTGGGTCTCACAACTCACATTCATCTTTCTGTGTATAGGCCTATGTATATATATATTTATATCTTGAAATTTTCCTCAGCAGGTTGATAATTTTGACTTGGCTCTAAGGTGGACTTTGAAACTGTTGTAAACTGATTCTTTTCTAGATGTGAATTTATCATACTGCCCTAAATGAAAAATAAAACAACACTGATGTCCCATTTACTAAATCGTGCAGACTAGATGGGATGTTCTAGAAAGAGGAGTGGCCTTCTTTAAAGACAACTTTTCATCAAGTGTTTCACGTATTTGCTGTTAAAGGACGTGCACATTTCATCATTCGTTTTTTAATATTCAGTACAACCATATCCATGTAAATGATACTTGTCCTTTCTTTCCACAAGCAGTTGGTTCTGGCTATTTCTGGATAGAAAGTCACGCCATAACAGAAGGTAGTGGATACATTGAACGTATTCTGCCGTGGTTTTGCTGTTTGCCGTGTCTCACATAAGTCTCCTACACACAAACTCGCACGTGCGTGCACGTATATAAACACTGATTCGCAAATACGTTATACTCTGACACACACAAACTCACGCACGTTCAGCCACACACGGACACACTCTTTGTAACTGTAACATGTTTTCTCACTTTTTTTTTCTCAGAGGTGCACAACATGTTTCCAACACACACACACACACTCACACACACACACACACA